TGGATGAGTCTAGCAGCTGCATTAATGATAGACTGAAGGGGGAGGAGCCTGTGTAGAGGTCGGCCAATGAGGAGGGAGTTGCAATAGTCAAGATGAGATATAATAAGTGAGTGGATGAGTTAGGGCAAGGGAGTTGTTCAAGCAATGCACATTATTATTATTATTATACAGGATTTATATAGTGCCAACAGTTTGCGCAGCACTTTACAATATAAGGAGGACATTAGAATCACAATACAATTCAAGACAAGATGGTAAGGAGGGCCCTGCCCCTGAGGGCTTACAATCTAAAAGGGAGGTGGGAAGTGATACATGAGGAGGTTGCTGTGAGGGGATGAATTGTTTGAGTACGTGATGGTTCAGTGGTTAGGTTGAGGTGGGATAGGCTTCCCTGAAGAGATGAGTCTTTAGGGAATGCCTAAAGGCAGTCAAGGTGGGAGATAGAGGGACAGATTGGGGTAAAGAGTTCCAGAGGATGGGAGAGACTCTAGAGAAGTCCTGGAGGCGAGTATGGGAGGAGTTGACAAGGGAGCTGGAAAGCAGGAGGTCTTAAGATGAGCGGAGGGGACGGTTAGGGTCACACTTTGAGACCAGGTTGGAGATATATACGGGGGCAGAGTTGTGGATGGCTTTGAATTTTATCCTTTGGGCGAGTGGAAGCCAGTGGAGGGATTGACAGAGGGAGGTTGCAGACAGGTTGGTTAGGTGGATGAGTCTAGCAGCTGCATTAATGATAGACTGAAGGGGGAGGAGCCTGTGTAGAGGTCGGCCAATGAGGAGGGAGTTGCAATAGTCAAGATGAGATATAATAAGTGAGTGGATGAGTAATTTAATATAAACTCAATTTAAACCAGTATCAATATATGAGCTTATATCCCAGTATGAACCATTATAACGTGTCCATACCCACCATGATGTAACATCATAGGATTTTAGTGACCATCAGCAAGACTAGGATCTGCTCTTGACCAAGCTGGGCTGCTGCTATAGTTTATATATAGTTTATAGTCAGGGACAAGTTTCACAGAGAAGGGTAAATTATAAACCTTGCAGCATGAAATTATAACTCATTTGGAAGGTAAAATAGTTCCCAGTTATGTACATGATTAAGCCATATTGATTAACTGCAGTGGGAATGCAGAATGGAAGTCACTGACTAGGGTAAGCTGTCTAGTAAGGCTGGGCACACACCTTACAACCCTCGCAAGACTTTTGTCTTGCGAGGGTTGTAAGGTAATTAAAAAAGCGTACGATCTGCCCATCTTGAACAGGCAGATCGTACTTGCGATGATCACAAGCCGCGCCCCCCAGAGGGGCGGGCTTCCGATGACCGAAATGCCTAACGGGCAGTGTGCGCTTGCGCACACCGGCCCGTCCGGCTTTTATCTTACGAACATGATACACACCTGCCGAACATCGTACGATTCTCGGCGGGGTTTTCGAACATGTTCGTAAGGTAAAAGTCGTGCGACCTTACAGTAGCAGAGGTCGCACGGCTTCCACACACCTTATGATAATCGTACGATTGCGGGATTTCCCACGATTATCGCAAGGTGTGTGGGCACCTTAAAGGAGAACTATGAGGGGGGTGATTTCCACTCACCTCATAGTTCCTAGCCGACCTGTGACAATGAGACTGTCACAGGTCGGCTCAGTAGATCGGGAGGTGAGCGAACACATACCGGCGTTCGCTCACCTCTCGATCCTGTCACGACTCTCTGCCGTGACAGGGGGAGGGGCTGGATTCCCCTCTCCCCGCTCCCATCTGCCAGAGCTGACTGGCGGATAGATAGGCAGAGCCAGCTGTCACTCACGCAGCTGGGCGGATCCCGTCATCTAAGTCGGGATCCGCTCCAGGTGCGGCGTCTCAGTATACCGCGAGCTGTAGCTCCCTATATACTGAGCTTAGGGTAACGGGAGGACGCTAGTTTGTGTCCTCCTGTTACCCTAAGGAGAACTATGGGGAAAAACACTGACCCCATAGTTCTCCTTTAAGATTGGCTGGTTAAGCAGATATATAAATTCTCTGACACATAAAACACTTCACATATTTGTATTTTATTATACTTAGTTGTTTGTGAGCAACAGATGGATTCTGGTTTGCCGGGTCAGAGGAATTTAAGAAGCTTACGTAATATTTCAGCAGCTTAAACAGGTTTTCTGCACGGGCTCAGCTACTGATGTTTCATATTTTATTATGTTTAATATGTTTATTAATACTATTATCATTGTTATTTTCCTTTACTTTAAAGGAGAACTATGAGGTTAAGTCTTTTCCCCATAGTTCTCCTTAGGGTAAAGGGAGGACACAAACTAGCGTCCTCCCGTCACCCTAGGCTCAGTATATAGGGAGCTGCTGCTCGCGGTATACTGAGACGCCGCAGCTGAAGCGGATTCCGACAATTATGTCTGGATCCGCCCAGCTGCGTGACTGACAGCTGGCTCTGCCTATCTAGAGGCAGAGCCAGCTGTACCCGCCCCCTCCCCCGTCCGTTCCGCCAGTCAGTGCTGGCGGGTCGGTGCGGGGAGGGGGGAATCCAGCCCCTCCCCTGTCAAGGCAGAGAGCCGTGACAGGATCAAGAGGTGAGCGAACGCCGGTATGTGTTCGCTCACCTCCCGATCTACTGAGCCGACCTGTGACAGTATCATTGTCACAGGTCGGCTAGAACTATGAGGGGAGTGAAAAGCACTCACCTCATAGTTCTCCTTTAAAGCTCCAACATTTTATGGAGCAAAGAACAATAAATAATAAAGGAATCATAAGTGCAAACTTCATAAGCAACAATTACAAACACATGAAAGAGGAAGAAAAGAGGGCTCTACGGAGATTCCAGTCCAATGTGTGGGGACCCTAGATACAAAAAAATAGAAGGGAGATGGCAGTGGCTGGAAGTCATGATAATTGCGCACATTTGATATTATAAGGAAGGGAGATGGCAGTAATTGGAGATGATGGGAATTGAGTACAATATATACAACAAGGAAAGGAGATGCCAGTAGATGAAGGTGATGACATGTCACAAGGGGGGTGCGGCCCGCCCCCGGGTGACACCATTGGAGGGGTGACACCAGAATGACTGACAGTCATTTTGGTGTCACCCCCCTCTGAAAAGTTGGGCACTCGGTCATGGATCAATAAGATCGCCAAGCATGCGCGATGTGGTCATCGCGCACGCGCATGGTAACATCACGCGCATGCGTGGTGGTGTCACGGTGGGGTGTCACCCGGTAACTGCTCCGGGTGACCCCCCGGCCTTGGGACGCCCTGTACTAGATAGAACAAGGAAGGGAGATGGCAGTGGATAGAGATGATGGTAGGTGGGTACACTGGATACAGTAGGGAAGGTAGATATCTGTAGATGGAGGTGATGGTAGGTGGGTACACTAGATACAATGGAGAAGAGAGGTGACAGTGGATGAGATGACGGTAGGTGGGTACACTAGATACAATAGGGAAGGTAGATATCTGTAGATGGAGGTAACGGTAGTTGAGTACACTAGATCTAATGGAGAAGGGAGATAGCAGTGGATTGGGGGTGATGGTAAGTAGGTAGGTACACTAGTTACAATAGGGAAGAGAGAAGCAGTGGGTAGAGAATGAGATGATGGTAGGTAGATACACTAGATACAATAGGGAAGAGAGAAGCAACGGATGGGCGGATGGAAGTGATTGTAGGTGGGCACAGTAGATACAAAAGGGAAGGGAGATGGCACTGGTTAGAGATGAAAGTAGGTGAGGACACTAGATACAATAGGGAAGGTAGATATCAGCAGATGGAGGTAAGGGTAGTTGAGTACACCAAATCTAATGGAGAAGAGAGTAGCAGTGGATAGAGGTGATGGTAGGTAGGTAGGTACACTAGGTGCAATAGAGAAGAGAGTAGCAGTGGATAGAGGTGATGGTAGGTAGGTAGGTACACTAGGTGCAATAGAGAAGAGAGTAGCAGTGGATAGAGGTGATGGTAGGTAGGTAGGTACACTAGGTGCAATAGAGAAGAGAGTAGCAGTGGGTGGTGCTGATGGTAGGTAGGTACACTAGATACAATAGAGAAGAGAGTAGCAGTGGATAGAGCTGATGGCAGTTGGGTGCATGAGAAATGATAGAGGGGAAGACTGGTAACCATTTTTAAAGAGATGGGTTTCTGTAACTGTTAGAAATGTCTGTATGATAGGACACGGAAGACAATTGCAATGATTGGGGGGAATCCTCAGACAAACATTGCATGTGATGGG